GCCGCAATAGCCCGGCTCAGCCCTGCTTGGCTGGAGCACCCTGCTCTGTGGTCCTTTGGGGTCTCCATGGCTGTCTACCTTTCTCTGTCTCCTCTCTGTGCTGGAGTCTGTTCTTTATCCCCTCGGTCCCAGGAGGGCTCAGACGTGCCTGGCTGAGGAGGGGACGAGGCCTGCATAGCGCCTGGGACCCACCTTGAAGGCTGCTGGGGGGGGTCCACCATGGCTGAGAGGGATGCAGGCCTCCCTCCGTCAGGCCCCCGTAGCGCAGGCCCCTCCTCGTGCCTGCCCCAAAGGAGCTGGAGTGGGGAGGAGGGCAGGCCGGGTCCGGTCTCTCCTGGATGGCCGTGTCCGCTCTGGGGCAAGGCTGACATTTGGGACAGGCTGGGGAGGGCGGCATGGCTGTGTCCTGGTCCTGGCTGGGGTCACTCACCACTTCCTGTCCCGGCAGTTACGGCCGCTCGTCTGCACGTCATGTCTGGCCTGTGGTCTGGCTGTGGCGAGGCCAGGTGTGTGTGGCCTGGGCTGTGACCCCCAGGAGCCTGGCCCTGGAGGTGGTGGGCCCCTGGCTCCACGTGGCCACCCACAGGGCTGGGCCGGGGCTGAGATGTGGGGAGTGGGGGCTGAAGCAAACGCCGTGAGGGGCTTGGGGACGCTGGTGTAGGGGTGGTCTCGGAGGGGAGGCTGTGCAGGCTGGGGGGTGGGGGTCCCGAGGCACAGGCCTTGCTCCCAGGGCCCCCCAGTGGCAGGCCTTGGTGGACCTTCGGGCCACGGGGTGGGACAAGGAGGTGGGGAGCCGGTCTGGACTGGCCATGGCCAGTGCCGCCCTCCCGTGGCCAGCCCCGCGAGCAGCTGGGCCCAGATTGGAGCCGGGTGGGCTGTGGGGCTGCCCCCCTCTGGGGCCTGGAGCCCTGTGGACTGGGGCGGCCGAGATGCTGCCTTGGGACACGTCTGTCCAGGGCCTGGCCTGGGCTTTCCCACCGGCCCCGCTGGCTGCCCGTGCCGTACCCATCGCCTGCTCTCGTGCACCCCACCTGGCCCTCCCTGGTGCCCCCTCAGGAGGTGGTCCCTGCACAGGTGGTCCCTGCACAGGTTTGGGTCTGATTTGCACCTGCATTGGTTCATTCGGTCATATCTTCACATGTAGAAGGTTCTAGAGGGACACAGGAAAGTACACCGTCACAGGGAGAGCTGCAGGTGTAACAGAGGCGTCCACTGAGGAAACCGGGCCCCGGGGGAGGTTAGCTCCTCCCAGGGGTCAGGGGCCCCGGGCAGGCAGGGCAGGAGAGGAGGAGGTGGACAGAGGGAGGGAACCAGGGTGGCACGAGGACCCCAGAATCCTTGCGGTGTCACCTGTGAGGGACATTTCCTCCCAGAGCCGCCTGCCCTTGAGCACCTCATGAGACCAGCGCTGTCCGCATCGTGGACGATCGCCCTGCAGCTGCAGCTTCTCGCCCACCTGTGAGTCTCCGGGCCCTGCGCCCTCCAAGGGGCCTGGAGCCCCTTGTTCCCGGAAGCAGCCCCCGCATGAGGAGCAGGAGGAGCCAGCACAGGACAGGCGATGAGGCCTCGTGGCTTGGGCAGCGCCGGGCGTGGGGGAGCAGGGCACTCGGTGGCCCCCTCCCCTGGGCCCACATGTGAACAACCCTGCCCCAGTGTGGGCGCAGACGGGACCAACCTTTGGGCAGAGGAGGAGGCGTCTGTCTGGACGTGAGGTGTGACTCTGGGTCCTGCGTGCCCCAGTGGTGGCAGCGGTGATGGGCTGAGGTCGCTCTGTGCCTCTTGTGTGTCAGAGGCTGCGCTAGGTCCAGGCCGGAGTGGAAAGAGCCTGGTGGCCAGTCCTCCCGGGCGGCCGCAGAGGAGGGTGGAGCTCTCTGTGGCCAAGGCCCGCTGGCTTGGCACGTGAGTGTCCTGGGGCCTCTGTGACAAAGGACTACAGCCCGAGTAGCTAAGACGACAGAAATTCTTTCTTGTCGTTCCAGAAGCCACGCTCCCTCCTGGGGCTCCAGGGGGTCGCCCTTCCTGCCCTTTCCAGCCCCTGGGGGCTCCACTGCCCCCCGGCTGTGGCAGCACCCGCCCCGTCTCTGCCTCCATCTCTATGTGGCCCCTCTCTGTCTGTCCCTCTGTCTCTGCCTTTGAATGGGAGCCACCTGGACATTCATGGCCGAAGATCCTTGATCACGTCTGCAGAGGTGCTTCCTATTCGGGGTTTGGGGGTCAGGGAGTGGCACAGCCTGGGGTCGCCACTCAGTCGACCGCAGGGAGGGGGAGGCCCAGGGAGGTGCCTCTTGCTGCTGGGAGGACACGTGAAGGCAGAGTCACGGGCATTCGCCCTGCGGGTCCCCAAGCTCAGCTGCCTGGGTGTAAATCCCGCCCTCTCCCCTGGTGGGGTGCCCGTCACTGCCCCCCGCCTCGGCTAGGTGGAGATGCGATACGCCCGGCCTGAGCTCTTGTCATCCTCATGCTGGGCCCACGGAGGGGGGGCGCTCATGATCCGAGTGCAGCCGGAGCACGGGGACACCGAGCCCTGCCCCTGGGGCTCTCAGTCAGGGGACGGGGACCGGCCGCCCTGGCCTTGGCTACAGAAAAGCCTGCAGGGGGTTGGGGATGGGGGCCGGGCCTCCCGAGGCTGTGTGCGAGTCTGTGCATGAGTCAGTGTGTCCACTGTGAGTGTGCATGCCTGTCCCCAAGTGTATGACTGTGTCTGTGAGTGTGCGTGAGTGTCCCTGAGTGTGTAACAACATGTCTATGTGTGAGTATGTGTGAATGTCCTGAGTGCATGATGTCCTTGAGTGTGTGACCGTGTGTCTGGGGTGAGGGCTGCAGCCTGAGAACACTCCCCAGCAGCCCGTGTCTCTGGACGAGCTGAGGGCCGGCCCGGCATGAGGTCTGAGCCCTGGCAGATCACACTCGCCGGTGGAGCTCGTTCCCACCCTCGCCCGTGCCAGCCGTGTGACGCCACACCCCTCGGCAGGGAGCCGGGATCCCTGAAGGGCCACTGCGAGGAGTGGAATCTGCCATCCAAGGACCTGGGCGTTCGTACGCCGGGAACGTGGCGGGCGGCCTGAGGAACTTCTCAGCCTGGCTTGGGGCCGGGACCCCCACAGCCCGCCGAGACCCGCCCAGGTGACCTCCCGCTGTCACCGTCCTGGTTATTGAAGCCCTTTCTCCCTGTCGCTGGCCGCCCGCTTTTCCCTCGCTGCGCAGGACCGGCACCCACTTCTCTTTTTCACGGGCTCCCGAGTGCTTCCGCATGTGGGAGAACCCCGCGCTTCATCACCAGCCGGGGAGCGTGCCTCTCAGCCAGCCTCATGCCCAGGGCTGTCCTTGGCCACCTGGCCGTCCCACTGGGGCTGGCGTGTCCTGTCTCCTCACTCGTCAGGCTTCTTCTCGAGGGTGGCAGCCGGCCCCACTCAGCCCGCGCTTGCTCAAGTGTCTTGCTCGGCTAATCGGGCTGTCCAGGCTGGCTGGGGGGTCGGGGGCCAAGGATTGGCCTGTCTGTGTGCTCAGTGGGCAGACAGACTGGGGCAGTGACCAGTGGTTCCTGAAGGCCGATGCTGGCCGCCGCCTGGTGATTGTGCAGCTGTGTTCCTGGCGCCCCCTGCAGTGGCCACAGAATCAGCCCCTTGGGTTTGCCCATGGGGGTTAAAATTGTGGGAAGCGTGGGAAACGGCTGTGAGCCTGGGCCAGAGACAGCGAGCAGACGTGATGGGGACCGAGCCGGGGTGTCTCTGGGGGTGTCGAAGGGACTCGCAAGCAACAGCTGCCCTGCACCCCTCCCTCTGGCCTCCGTCTGACCATCCCCACAGGACCACAGACACTGCCCCGAAGCACAGTCAGGTGGCACTGGATTTATAAGAGACCTTCACTGAGCGACCCAGGGGAAGGGACAGAACAGCCAGTATGAGAGGCCGGGCGAGGCCGCGGCGGGTGGGCGTGGATGCTGAGTCCTAGGTTTGGCTCTGGACGCTGAGCACAGGCGGGGCCATGGGCTCCAGGCCTCTCTATGTTTTAGGGGTGTTCAGTCAGAATGAGAGTGGCCTCGACCCCAGGTGCCTGGAGGAACCCAGAGTGTCAGCATCCGTGCCCAGCCCAGGCTGCTGTGTCGAAGGGCCAGATGCTCTTCAGTGACTTGTCCCAGAGCGGGGTGAGGTGGGGCATGATTGGCGGGCCCCCTGACCTTGGGGCTGAGCTGGAACCTTCTGGGTGCCTGTGAGCTGGCGGTTGGGTCCCTGGCTCTGGCCCTTTTGGGAGTCGGTCTGCGCCCCACTCCCGCCCAGGGCAGACCAGGCAGCCTTAGCGGCTCTCAGGCATGGGGCGAGAGGGCGCAGGCGGCACCCCAGCCCCAGGCTGCCGGCTCCAGGACGTTGGCGTAGTCGTGGGCGAGTGGGGGCTCCTGTCGCAGGACGGCGGCCGAGACCCACTGTACCTGCGGGAGGATGCACGTGAGGCCCCGCCCGACCCTCCTCCTGGGCCTCCCCGCACACCTGCGGCCCACCTTGCAGACGGTGACGGAGGCGCTGTAGGTCACACTGAGCAGGAAGAGTGTGATGAAGATGAAGAGGCTGGTCCAAACCCCGTCCAGCTCCTCACTCTCGGCCGTCCCTGTGCACAGGTCCTGGAGGTCCAGCTCTGCGGGCACCGGCCAGTCAGCCCTGTCCGCCCCGGGTGCCAGCTGGTGGCGGACGGGCCTGGCCGCCCTCAGGGAGTGCGGAGAGGGGGCCCCGGCACCTGAGATGGTGCTCTGGTCTTGGGCTGTTACCGCGGATGGTGAGCTCAGGTCCTGCCACCACCCGGAGGTGCCAGCCAGCCCCGGGGGCTGGGCTTCTGAAGCCTCATGGCAGCCAGTGGCTGTGTGATGGCGGCTCGGCCCTTTGCCCATGGCCGACCCCGCCCGTATGGCTATGCTTCCTCGACCTCCATTTCTGGTGCTTCCCTTCTGACTGCTGGTCACCCCCGGGAACGGCCACTAGCCCCTGCCCCCGCCTGCTCAGCTTCGCTCCTGCTGCTGGCTGCCTGGAACCTCAGTGGGTCTGAGCTCGGCAGCCACTGGCCATTGCAGTGGCTGCTCCAGGGGCTGGCCTGGCCCTGCACTGGTCCCCGCCGCCCAGCCCCGGCTCAGAGGGGGCAGGCATGCCCATGCGCGTTGGGCTCTGCGTGGAGTGGGCCCGCGGTGCCTCTGGGCTGGTTCTTCAGAGTGGGCCTGGGTTTGCTGCTTTTCGTGTGGCTGTCGTGGGTGCTGGTGTGCTAGGAAGTGTGTGTGTGCGTGCGTGCTCACGCGGGACGGGAGTGGGGTCTGGGGGTGTGTCACGTGCATACGAGCTTGGTGCTTGAGTGGGGGTGGGCTTGGCTCCTGACTCTGATCCCTGCAGCCCCCAGACCCTGGGACAGGGCCAGCAGCTTGCTCTGAGGTGGGAGACGAAGCCCATATCCTGGGGGGGTGTGTCTCTGAGTGTGTCGGTGTGTGTCTGAGTTCGTGTACATCAGTGCATGTGTCCTGTGTGTTTTCGTGTGTGTATCTGTCTGTGCGTATCTGTGTGTCTGTCCATGTATGTCTGCGTGTGTCAGTGTGTGTACCATGTGTATTTCTATGCGGTGTCTGTGTGTCCATGTGTATCTGTGTCTATTTCCGTGGATGTCTGTGTGTCTGTGTGAGTGCCCACGCGTGTCTGTGTCTGTCTGTAATTACGTATGTTCCTGTGTGTCTGTGCGTGTCTGTCTGTCTACGTGCATCAGTGTGTGTGTGTCTGTGTCCGTCCATCTGTCTGTGGGGTGCAGCTGACAGGGAGGTTTGCACGGGGGAGGCTGGGGCCCCAGTGGACAGCAATGTGGGGCCCGCTTGGCTCCTAGTTGGAGGGCGGGGACGTCCGTGCCCGCCTCGGATCCTGTGGCATGGGTGGGATGGCGGCAAAGTTTTCGGGAGTGGCCTGGGCAGACGAGCAGGCCATGGGAGGCCACGCGAGAGTGTGCGTGAGACGTGTTAGCACATGCCGGGCTCCCACGGCGGGCGGTGCGTGGGGCCGCTGGAGCCACCGCGTGGCTGGTGTGGGTGCGGGGCGGGCACTGCGTGCGGGGCTGCACGGGAGGCTCGCTGGAGCGTGCTTGCGTGGGCCAGGCCCGCCCTGGGGTTGATGCGCGGGGGAGTGGGGCTGGGCAGCGAGACTGTGGTGTTGGGTGCCGAGCTGGCCCGCGGTAGCCACGTGGGAGGGTGGGAGTTGGGGGAAGGCCGTGCGAGGGGCCGTGCGCTGGCCTGTGCGGGGCTGGGGTGCTGCTCTGGCCCCCTGTGCGCTGGCACCTGTGCAGGCTTCTCGCTCTGCCCCCTCTCCCACGCAGAGGGCCCTGTGTGTGTGTGGCTGGACCGGGGCTTTGGAAGCTTGCCTGTGTCCAGTGGGACCAGCAGGAGCCTGGGGCTGGAGGCCAAGGCCTCCAGTGCCTCCTGCAGAGGGCGGGGCTGTGGGCTGGGCTGGGGTCCTTGCACCCCCCCACCCCAGGGATCTCTTTCTGGCTCTTAGGAATCCTTTGAGTGAGTGTGACCCATGGTGAGGTGGTGGGGAGGGGCCCCCGACGTGGGCGATGATGGCAAACAGAGCCACGGCTCCGTCCTGCCCCCCGTCCCGCCCCCTCTCCGGGGGGGTCCCTTCCCCCGTGCCAAGCCCGCCCACCCCCAAGAACGGCGCCCAGGGCTCCGAGCAGGCACGGGGGTGTTTATTGACAACGCTGGACAGAGGCTCTGGCGGGCCCTCCCCCCGCAGGATGGAGCCCGGGGGGTGTCAGTTACCAGGCTCTTTGGACACGGATTTCTTGAGAGTCCTGGAGCCGGGCAGCGCCTCGTGGACCACTTGGCAGGTGAACTTGTCCCTCTTCTCCCAGTCCGCCCTGCGGACCTCCAGGCGGCTGAAGACGAAGAAGGCGGGGCTGGAGCTGTTGGCCTTGAGGGGCTGCGTGGTGGCCTGCTGGTCCGTCTGGACCGGGGCGTCATTCCGCAGCCACTGCACCGAGATGTCCACGGGGAAGAAGTTCTGGACCAGGCAGGTGAGGGTGACCGTGTCCTTGGTCCCCTGGCTCTCCTCGGGCGGTAGGAACACGTAGACCTCGGGGGCGGCACGCTTACCTGTGGATAGCGTGGGGTCAGCCCAGACGTGGGTCGGGGGCCCGCCCGCCCCCTCAGCCTGCGGCTCACCGGGGGTTTTGGCGATGGTGCGTGCGATGGCCCTGGGCAGGTGCGGGTGGGACACCTCGCACCGGTAGGTCACACCCTCGATCCAGTCGTCGGCGTCCACCGGCAGGGTGGACGTGACGGTGTAGGTCATGTTGAAGTGGTGCTTCGGGACCTCCGTGGCCTTGTCCACAAGGTCCTCGCCCTCCCGGGACCATTTCAGGCTCATGCCATCCACGCTGGCCAGGTCCACCACCAGGCAGGTGATCTTGGGTGACTTGTGGATGTACAAGTCGAGGGGGCTGGGCGGGATCAGGTAGACGCTCACGCCGCGGGGCTCGGACTCTGCGGGGTGCGGGAGGGGCTGTGTGAGGCCGGGCGGCCCCTTCGGCCCTGAGCACGCGGGCGTCGGCATGCGGGGGCCGTACCTGGGCAGCTGCGGGCATGGTCCTCGATGATGAAGCCTAGGTAGTTGACCCGGCAGGTGTAGGTGCTTTGGGACACCCACTGGCCTTGGGTGATGTTAAGCTGGCTGTGGGCGGAGGCTAGCTTGCCCTCCTGCTTGTGGGGGCTGATGTATGGGAACACGTTCTCGGCCTTCTGCCCGTCCACCAGCCAGGTGACCTCAATGTCACCTGGGGTGAAGTCAGAGATGAGGCAGAGGAGCTGGACGGTGGCATGGGTGTCGCCACTGGGGTCGCAGGACGAGTGTAAAAGCTTCACGGTGGGCTGGGTGTAGTTCGTGGCGCACACTGGGGGCGGAGGTGGCGGGTGTGATGTTGGCCTCTCAGCCTGTGGAACCCCACGCCCCAGCCCAGGGCCCCAGGCACTCTGGGCGTGACCAGCATGGCAGCCTTAGGGCTCCCTCCTGCCGGCCTGCCCCTCCTCCTCTGACGGTGGCCCCTCGACTGTGGGTGGGTCCCCCCGACTCACCACGAAAGCTCCTGCTGACGGCGGCGGACCCGGGGTGCTCCACCTGGCAGGTGAACTTCTGTGTGGCCCACTCGCCCGAAGCGGTCACCTGGCTGATGGTGGTGTAGAGGTTGGAGGTCGAGTGGAGGGTGGCAGGGAAGGTCACAGTGTTCTTGGTCAGGGTCCCCACATCCCAGGTCACGGTCACTGGGCCTGGGAAGTAGTCCCTGACCAGGCATCCCAGTGTCACGGAGAGGGCGGCGGTGCTGGTGCCTTCGCAGCAGGAGACCAAGGGGAAGACGGCCGGGGCCTGGGTGGAGGCTGTGGGGCGGGACCGGGGCTGGGTCAGCACTGCCGACCTCCGGCTGGGACCCCGGGAGTCTGTAGTGGGGACTGCGGGGTGCGGAGGAGGAGGCATGGAGACCGCGCCCCAGCCTCTGGGACGGAGGAGCCCAGGCAGATTCCGGCCTCTTTCCTCACTCCCCGATTCCTCCCGGATGCCCTTGGGTGTACCTCGGCGCCCCCCTCCAGAAGCTGTTGGTGTGACCACTCTCAGCCTTGAGAGGCCAGAATGCGGGGTCCTCAAGTAAGAGAGGCACCCGTCATTCCTCCAGACTGAGGCTCGGAGTCCACAGCCTCTCGCTGGGGAGCAAGGACCCGAGGTCCCAGGAACTGGCAAGGCGGCCCCTCTGTCCCCACCTGCGGCCCCACTAAGGGCTGGGGACCCGGAGGCCCCTACCCCCCAGAGTCACTAGTGTGTCCCTGCCCCACCCCACAGGCTTTGTGGGGCTTGCCTTCGGCAGGTCCACCTGCCACGCAGAGGGCTTGCTTCCTGCGGCCGTGGCTGCCCCTTCGCCCCATCCACCCTAACCTGCCAGGCTTCCCTGCTGCTCTCCCAAGGGGCCCGATGGCAGGCGCCGTGGAGAGATGATGAAGACCCCACAGAGCCCACCTCAGTCCCTCCCCCAGTGAGTGACTCTGCCTGCCCCTCCCCTGGCCTTGGCACTCCAGACCTCAGCCCAGCATAGCCCTGGCCCAGCTCCGTCCGCCCTGCTCCACGCTGCTCATCTGCCTAGCTGAGCCCAGTCCAGGTGACCTTGTGCCAGGACAGCTGGCACCAGGTGAGACCAGCCAGCTGCACAGCCAGCCCAGTCCAGCTCTGCCCATTTCAAGCCAGCTCAGCTCAGGACGGCCCACCTTGGCTCATCGTGGCCCCAGTCAACCCAGGACAGAGCATTTTAAGCTATGAAACTCATCTTAGCTCAGTGCACACAGTTCGACCCAATTTCTTCTAGCTCAGACCATCTTCCCTGGCCAGCCAAGGACACTTTTCCTCCCTAAGTGGGGCTCACCTTAGCACCACTGAGGCAAGGCATGCAGGCCCTGGGGAAGGGCGCCGACCCGCTCAGCTCAGCCCAGGTCTCCCAGTTCAAACCAGTTCAGCTCAGCCCAGCTCAGCTCGGCTCACCCAGTTTAGCTCAGCCCAATTCAGCTCAGCTCAGCTCAGCTCAGCTCAGCTCAGCTCAGCCCAGCCCATCTTAGCCCAGTTCCTCCCAACCAAGCCCAGTTCAGCTCAGCTCAGCCAGTTCAGCTCAGCTCAGCCCAGTTCAGCCCAGCTCCCCTCAGCTCAGCCCAAGTCAGCTCAGATCAGCTCAGCCCAGCCCAGCTCAACACACCCTAGCTCAGCTCAGCTAACCCAGTTTAGCCCACTTCAGCCTAGCTCAGTCCAGCTTAACCCACTTCAGCATAGCTAATCCAGTTCAGCCCAGTTCAGTCCAGTTCAGCCTAGTTTAGCTTAGGCTAGCTCAGCCCAGTTCAGTCCAGCTGAGCCCACTTTAGCACAACTAACTCGGCTCAGCCCAGTTCAAACTAGTTCAGCTCAACTTAACCCAGTTCAGCCAGCTCAGCCCAGTTTAGCCCAGTTCAGCCCAGCTTAGTCCACTTCAGCACAGCTAACTCAGTTTAGCCCAGTTCAGCTCAGCTCAGCTCAGCCCAGCCCAGTCCAGCTCACCTCGCCCTAGCTCAAGGTTCAGCTAACCCAGTTCAGCCCAGTTTAGTCCAGTTCAGCCTAGCTTAGCTCAGACCAGCTCAACCCAGTTCAGCCAGTTTAGCCCAGTTCTGCCCAACTCAGCCCAGTTCAACCCAGCTCAGTTCAGCTCAGCTCAGCCCAGGTCAGCTCACCCTGGCTCAGCTCAGCTAACCCAGTTCAGTCCAGTTCAGCCCAACTTAACCCAGTTCAGTCCAGCTTAGCCCACTTCAGCACAGCTAACTCAGTTCAGCCCAGTTCAGCTCAGCTCAGCCTAGTTCAGCCCAACTTAACCCAGTTCAGCCAGCTCAGTCCAGTTCAGCTCAGTTCAGCTCAGCTCAGCTCAGCTCAGCTCAGCTAACCAAATTTAGCCCAGTTCAGCCCTGTTCAGTCCAGTTCAACCCAGTTCAGCCCAGTTCACTTAAGCTCAGCACGGCCCTGTCCAGACCTGCCGAGCTCAGCAGAGAATGTCGCGTCCAGCCCAGCCCTGCCCGGGTAGGCCAACCCCGCCCGCTGCAGCCACCCAACTTCCTTTAGCTTGGCCCTACCCTTCTGAGCCCAGTTTGTCCTGACCCAGCCCAGCTCGGTCTGCAGAGTCCAGCCAAGTTCAGGTCAGCGCCATTCAGCCTAGCTCAGCTCCACTGAGCCAGCCCAGGACGGTCGGCCCAGGTGCCTCATTTTGGCTAGTGGGCCAGCTTGGCCAGGACCTATCATCACGTTGGCCTGGCCCAGGACAGCCCTGCTCAGCCCTGTCTGTCCATCCCAGCTGGGCTGGAAAGGCCCATCCACCCAGCTCACTCAGCCCATCGCAGGCCAGCATGGCTGAGGATAGCTCATCTCCCTCCAAATGGCTGTCCACTCAGAGCACAGAGGCCCAGCCCGGCCCAGCCCGCCTTAGTCAGGCCAGCTCGGGCCAGAGGGTGTGGCTGTAGCCCAGCACGGGGACAGCTCCCTGCTGCTTTCCCCCTGTGGGTCATGGCCAGCCCTCTGCCCGTACCCTCTGCGTGGTCCCTGACCCTCAGCCTTGGGCCCTGCCTCAGCCCTGGCCCCCCATGCTCCTGGCTCCTCGTCTGCTCCAGGCTGGCTTCGGCCAGTCTCTCACTCCCTTGCGTCTCATTCAGGGTGGGAACAGCTGAGAGACGAGCAGTGACCAGCAGGCTCAGTCCACTGGGCGGGCGGTTAAGGTGTCCTCTTCCTCACAGTGGCCCAGGCGGCATGCCCCTTGCTGCCACTGGGCCAGCCCCAGAAGCTGGGGTACCTGGAGTGCCGAGTCCGCTGTCGGGTGCGTGGCCGGCATGCCCGTCCCCACTGTCTGCGGCTCCCGGGCAGGCTCCTGGGAGGTCAATCGTTAGAAACCATTGCTGTTATTTTTACGTGCAGACAATAGGGCCGGGGGGAGGGGAGCTCTGCCTCAGTGCTCTCAGCTAAAAATGGGGTGGGAACCCCCAGGGCCTCAGCAGCCGGGGAAGTTCCCTTCTTTCTCGGTTCTTGGAAAGTCGATCGAGCGATGGGAGGGTCTCGGCGAGGCCCCGCTGCTGCGCGTGAGGCGCTTTCCTCTGTGGCTTCGTCCCCTGGCTGGCACTGCTCAGCTCACGGCCCTCCCTTGGTGACCAGCTGCCCCGAGGAGGGCGCCGGGCCCTGCCACCACTGCGCTGTGAGGGAAAGGTCATGGCTTTGAGTCTGACAGGCGGAGGCCTGCGTGGGCCCGGCCCGGGTTGTGGACAAGGGCCTCCCTCTGGCGTGACACCCTGTTCGCGTGTCTCCCATCCGGAGGAGCGGGCCGGGGGGGCCCAGTGTGGGTGGCTCGGGCTGTGCACGTGAGGTCCACATGTCCACTTAGGGACAGGCAGGGCATCTGCTGGTGGGCGACCTTGCCCACCACCTGCACGCTCACTCCTGGGCCACTATCCTGCAGCCGTGGCCCCCATTGGGGCTGTGACTGGGCGGTGCGGCCAGTGAGGACCAGCAGGGACCCGTGGAGAGGCGAGACATGGCTGTGAGGTTGGCTGTTGGCTCTGCAAGGCCCCTGCAGCTGCCGGAGCCTGGGATGCACCGTGCCCCGTCTGTGCCGCAGGTGTCCCCTGGGGATGTGGAACCTCCCGCAGGCACCAGCGGCTCTGGACTGGTCTGTTGGGAAGCCTGGCCCACCGTCAAGGCCCCAGCGCCGTGCCGGAGTTGAGCCGGGGGGTCGGTGACTCACCTGTGCACTGTGGGCATGTCCTGCAGGCCTGTGTGTCCCCAGAAGCCCCCTAAGGCCCACACACACACACAGGGGTGGCCGCAGGGGCCTGTCGGCCCAGCTCGTCGGTGTGGGCTGCCGCGAAGGGTTTGCGGAGCGTCGGAGACGGAGACGTGAAGACACTGTCTCCTGGACTTGGGACAGCCAGGGCTAGTGGTCCCCATGCGGGAAGCCTGCGTGGAAGCAGCTCTGCTGTGTGGCCCGGCCGGGCCGGGGTCTGACCAAGTGCGTCGATCGGCCAGGGCCCCCCAAGGCAGACTGTCCTGGTCTGTTACACCTCGCTCCTGGACTGGGCACAGATGCTGCGTGGGAGGCAGTGGGGAACGTAGAGTTCTTTGGAAGTGCTTGTGATTTGAAGAGAAACCACAGGACTGGGGACAGAGTGCCACGGCTGGGGGGCAGGGCCCAGGCCATGTGGTACCAGGCCCTGCAACCCGCACATGTGGGTGTGTGTGCCAGGCCGGGGGCTCCACGCGGCCAGCCCGGTCCACCTGGCTCACCCTGCCCTTTATCCCCGGGAGTGGGCATTTGAGGCCAGGTCCCAGCGTTAGGGCGTGTGGGGCAAGCAAATGTCAGTCTGGGCTCTGGCCAATGCACTGCTTGGAGGGGGCTGGACCTGCAGATGTTTCTTCGACCCCTTGAACTGGACACCAGCAGGCTTCAGATCCCCCGGACCTAGCTGGGGGCTCAGTGCTCCTGGTACTTGTGATGGGGGCAGGCATCAGAGTTCTGGGCTGTGAGGCCAGCTGACCCCCTTGTCGACCTTGGTTGTGGCCCTAAACACAGGCCCGTGGACGCTCCAGTCCTCCCGCATATCTTCTGTCCCCTAGGGCAGGTCTAGCTCTCCCTCTGACTGCTCTTTCCTGGAGCTGATCAAAGTGCTCCGGGCGGCCCTGCCCGTGGCCCCAGCCTCCAGCCTCCTGAAGGCCGCAGCATGGCGTCTTCCGTCCTGAGTTAGATGCTCCCATTATTAACGAGCTGGAGTACCTCTTAGACACTAGGCAGCCATCTGCGCTTCTCCATCGTCACTCACCATGTACCCTGAAGGGATTCTTGGCAATTTCTCGTGACTCTGCAAGGCAACCATTCCGGATGCCAGCCCCTCGTTAGTTTTAACCTTGCGCTGACCTTCTCCCGGATAACCCCCTGTCTGTTCATGTTGCTTATCACATCCTTCATTCACAGAAATTCTTGATTTCCATGTGGTCGAATTCACCAGCTCTCTACCCTGAGGCTGGTGCTTTGGGAGGCCGGAGAACTCTGTTACTAGCTCTGAGTGCCCTGCGGCTCCTGTGACAAAGTTCCACACACGTGGTGGCTAAAAACCAGAGAGCTTTATTCTCCCATGTTCTGGAAGCTAGAAGTCCAAAATCAAGGTGTGGGCAGGGCCGTGCTCCTTCTGAGGCTCCAGAGGAAGGTCTCGTGGCTACAACCTCATCGCTCCAACCTCTGCCTGTGTCTTCATGTAGCCTTCTGTCCTGCGTGTCTCTGTGTGTCATGTCTTCTTCTTTTAAGGCCACCAGTCACTGGACTTAAAACCCATCCAAATGTAGTCTGATGTCATCTCAAGATCCTTAACCTAATTACGTTGGCTAAGATCCTATTTCCAAGTGAGGCCCACTGGGCAGACAGCGCTGCCTGCTCCTCCAGCCTGGGCTGGTCTGCTTCCTTCCGTCATTAGAGTGGTGCACCAGATGCAGCGTTTGATCCTGACGGGTCCCCCCCGCCCCCACTCACTTCGCACGTGTTGTAAAGTGGAGATCCATCTTGGAGTTCTCCAGAGAAGAAGCCACATTCCCATCTGCCCCCGAGCATTCCCGCACTTTCCTGCTGCCTGATGCGGCCACACTCACTGTACACTCAGCTCCTATAGATGGCCGGGCTGTTTCTGAACTCTCTCCCGTTGCTTAGGTCTGTTAGTCTGTGCGCGGGCACCATACTTCAACAATGTTTTGTGTCTGTGTTAACATGTAGGAGGAGAGTCTTCCTAACCTCTCATTCTTTGCTCTTATTCTTCAAAAGTGTCCAAGCTATAAATGGATCTCAAAAACAGACAGACAGACAGACGGACAGACAGATGGGCAGACAAAACCAACCCGGCTGGAATTTTGATCGGAGTACACTGTATTTTTTAAAGTCTTGGACGATCTTTCTTAGGTAATTCATTACACTTTTATGAATCATGCCTTGTTTTTCATTACATTTTCCTAGTAGGTTTTTCCTGACAAAGGGGCACAGACTTTGATAAGTTGGTCTTGCATTTGCAAAGATTTCTGATTCTCCTCTGAGTTCTAATAGTTTGCCTGCAGATTATGTTGCATTTTACTACTTCATGTAAATTGTAAGAATCTTGAAAAAATATAGTTTCATTTCTTGGTTCTACTGTCATATATTTCACTTCCATACATGGTATAAACCCCACGATATACTGTTATAATTTTTACTTTAAAAAAATCAAGCATCTTTTTAAGAAAGTAAGAGAAGAAAAGAGAATTTTTTGTACTTACCATTTACCACCCCTGATGCTCTTCTTTCCATCATGCAGACCCGAGTTTCCATTTTGTGTCCTTTCCTTTCAAGCACCTGGATTTCCTTTCCGTGTTTTCTGTACTGCAGGTCTCCTGGCAATACACCCTCCCATTTTCTTCTGTGTCTTAAAATGACTATTACATTTTCATTTTGGAAATACATTTTCTCTGGATATAGAACAGTGAAGGTTGAAAGTCCCCCCCCCCCCTTAAAGATGCCATTCTATTAATTCTATTGCTTTTTGCCTAGCATTTTTTTCCCAACGAGAAGCCAGATATAGTTTGTTCCCTGTATGTATGTGTTATTTCTCAGGCTAATTTGAAGACATCTCTTTATCTCTGGTTTCATGAGTTTGACACGATGTGCCTAGGCATGGAACATCATATTGTATTTATCATTAGAAATTGGCTGACCTTCTTGAATCTGTAAATTGATATGACTGCATTACATTGATATGACATTGGGAAACTTCCAGTCTTTATTTCTTCGAAGACTTTTTCTGCCCCATTCTCTCTCGTCTCCTTGTAGGACTCCAATTTCACGTATTTTGTAATGTTTCATATTGTCCTGTAAGACACGGAGTCTCTTTTCATATATTTCCCAGTATTTTTCTTGCTATTCTTTGGATTGAATTCAAAAGAATTTCTATTGGTATATAAGTCATCTGATCTTTCTTATGCCTTCTCCAATCTGCTGTTAAGCTTATAAAGTGATTTAAAAAAACTCGTAAGTGTACCTTCCAGTTCTAGAATTTTCATTTGGTTCTTGTAAATAGTTTAGATTTTTCTGTAGAGATTCTCTATCTATTCACTCATTACGAATATACTTTCCTTTAAGTCTTTGAACATATACACAGTATGCTGGTTTAATGACCTCCTTGTCTGATGATTGAGTTTGTGTCTGGGTCATCTTCAGATTAATCTCTATTGAATACTTTATATTTAAATTATGGGTCACATTTTCTTATTTCTTTGCGTATTTAGAGCGTTTGGATGTTGTAGATCTGGGGCCCCAAACTCCTGGGCTGCAGACAGGTAACTGGTACCAGTCTGTGGCCTGTTAGGAACCGGGCCGCACGGCAGGAGGTGAGCGGCAGGCGAGTGAGCGAAGCTTCACTTGTAGTTGCAGCCGCTCCCCAGCGTTAGCATCACCGCCTCAGCCCCATCTCAGATCATCAGACATTAGATGCTTATAAGAGCCCTGGTTCCTGGTGCCACAAAGATTGAAGACTGCTGTCGTAGCTGATACATAGTATAGGCTACGGAGTTTGTCCACTTCCTCGTAAGAGTATTCAGATTTCATGTCCCAAATCTGTCTTCTGAATGGGGCAGTAGCTGAAATCTCTCGGTCCTTTCAACCTCCCGGCTGGTGTGTTCCTCTGGGCCCGTTGGCATTTCCCCTACAGATGCGCAGTTGAGGGATCAGCCAAGGATTCGTGTACAATTTACATGCAGATTCCAGGGTTTCCCTTCTGTGGCTCACTCATTTCATGGACAGCTCCCCTTAATTTCCAGCTGCTCTTGAAATGC